AAGCTTGCCAAATAATTATCGATTCTGCAAGTTTCAGTCGAATTATGCCATTTTAGGTCAAGTTGTATCAAATTAATCAAATCTTTACAAGCAAAATAAATAACTTTTTGTGGTCGGGCTCGACACATTTTAATCCTTAAGGGAAGTAGTTCTAATTTGACGATGTTGGTTCCATCATCAAATAGGATGAAATAAGCTGACATAAATATCGGCACACTTTTCCGTAAGAGAGACTTTTGAGTCTAGTCAGCACAATTTCTCTGTTTCCTAAACATGCTCCTCCAGACGTCCATCGTTTCATTGACGGACGCAGTTTTCTAGCACAACACGCGACACAATTGGACGTCTTTGGGCCTCTAGACGACCGAGAACGGTCGCGAGGGAAAGGGAAGGGTTCATGGGCTGACAATGCTAATTGTTCGCTAATAGAGAGGATGGTGATTTGGGGAACATTTTGAGGTCCATGCACTTTCCAGCGGCGTTACGCTGTTGCCGGGGCCCCGTGAATCCACTTGCCGGGTCAATGTGATCGTTAAGGAGCCTTCTACGCTGCCACTGATCTCTGCATTTTCTCGTATGGCCCTATGGACACGGATTGCCACCTATTATGAATTGCGTCATATAATTTCGACAGTTGGTTGTGTCTTACGGAATGGCGTCACGAATATTATACATAGGCGACCGTTCAATGCCGGCGAGTGGGGGAACGGGGGAGGGAGGGTGGACAAAACGCAGCTGACATGGTCTCTGTAGAGCACATAGGGCATGAACAAGAGAGCTCGTAGCTTCACATCCATATGTGCTGATTCTCTAAGCACTACACTGGATCTACTACAAACACTTGGGAGGGCTTCTGTGGTCCTCGTCCGGCGGGATTATGCTATTTGCGGTGATTTGCTCCCGCACGCACCAGTGCCCCCGGTCCCAGGTGCATCATCGGAGCTCGACTATCAAGCAACGATCAGGCAACGGGATAAGGTGCCTGCATGGCAAACAAACACAATTTCGGGGCAAGTCATGGTATATTGACAGGAAGCACAAAACGGAAAACGCGAACTCAAAATGAACGAAATTGAAGGCATTACTACTCCTCTTAGCCGATGCAGAGAAGACCTGTTTTCTTTGAGAAACAGCTCTTACAGACCACGCGCGGCGCTGTAGCCTTCGCGGCGGACGAGTTGGGCATCATGACCATTACGAACCTGCGAGCCATCAGGTCCCCGCAGACGCCACAAAGGAACGGGCCCGGGCCTGGGTCGCCGCGCGGCTCGGTGCGGCTCGCACGCCGGTACTCGTCACGTGACGTGGGCCCGTCGAGATCAGACTCAGCTGGCCCGGCCCCGCTCGCTGGCGAGCCAGCCCCAGGTGCATGCTCTTCACGATCCATGTACTTGTCCCCACCGCGTGGACTTTGCGGGGTCAGGCTGCGCTGAGGGGTGCAACCGTGCCCCGTGCAACCGTGCCCCGCGGAGCAACTGTGCCGTTTCATCGGTGATAGGTCTGGACCAGCAGAGCCCTGTCGGTCTGGTTGTTGGTCGTCGTGCGGTGATCGTCGCTTGTCTGCCTCTTCCCTGTGAATGCGCCGGCAGTGGCGCTGAAGATAATCACGGGACTTAAATCTGATGGAGCAAACGTAGCAGCGAAATGGCTTTTCGTTTGTGTGGGTCACCAAATGTCTTCGGATGTCTTTCTTTCTCCTAAACGGTCTACCGCATATTTCACAGACGTGCGGCTCCTCCGCCGTTGCCGTATTGCGCATATTAGTGCCAATTATGCCAATGATCGGTGCATCACCCCCTTTAACCGCGGCGGACTTTTCGTGATCGTCACCACAGGCCAACAAACGCCCGGGCGAGCCTTTGAACGGATCACCAACACCAGAAGAAACCGCTTCGACGCAGGAAATGTAGCGGGCAAACTGTAACGCCGATTGCACATTGTCGGAGTCATCTGGAGATACATTCTGAGAAGCCTCCAAGGGATCCTTTTCGGGTACCGCAGCGCCGAACACACCGAAATTACAATTGCGGTAGAAATCCTCCGCCGAATCCGAGACGCTCCAGCTTGCATTCACGGTGCTTGGCCCGTCTTCCGCTGATTGCACCAGCACCAATGTCCCGAAGCTCAGAGGTATCTCTCTTACCAGAGACATCGCCCTCGTCAGTAGTTGAAATATAAACCGAAGGACTGGCAACGCAACCGCTGGTATCACGTGGGTGTTAACGATGACACGGCTTGTCAGGAAAGATTGAAGATCGCACAACTGACAGATCCTTCTTCTCGCAGCCGCCGACCCTGTGGTAACGAGTCCTCAAATGGACTCGAATCGATCTGAATGAGCGGGACAAATGCCGTCGGGCCCTGCCTACCCAACGTATCTACTGCCCGTCGGCCAACAACTGCACAAAAATCAGCCGAACGCTCCCAGTCGCGTGCGTGCGAGTGTCGGAAGGGTACCTCCGCTAAGGAGATCATAAAGTTAGCTTCGCCGTGCACAAATACAGCGGACACATCCAAATGCAAGATGCCCGCAGCCTGACGACACGAAGAGCGTCGTAACTTTGGGACTGTTTTCGAAGGCACAGGCCGCGGAGCATCCCTCTTCCACATTGCAAGTAAATTAGAGGATGCAGGACCCATTCGATTGCCGCAGACGCTTCGTCTTGCAGCGAAGTGGCCCGCTATCTTACAAGCCAAGGCACGCGCCAATGCAACCAGGCCACGCCATTTCCAAAGTGGCTCAAGGCAGCTCGATGACAGCCTTCCGTACAAGATTTCGCATCGAACGTCGATATATTAAATCCAGTCATGCACCCATAAGGGACAGGTCACGTTCGCGCAGCACGCCATTTGACCCCTCGGCTTCAATACAATCAGCTGGAACAGGAAAACAGGGCCATGGTTTTTACGACGATGTTGTTTATTTTCTTAGAAGGCGATGGCTATCGTTGTGCTTGAGATGAATAACACGATCGATGGTATGCACAGTCAAATGCACGCAATGCGGCGTGCTACATGCTGTACATGTGCAAGAGCTTCTTTGATCTACACCGGCAACTGAGGCAAACTCGCCGCACATATGTTACATCATACAGCACCCATCGACGATCCACTGTCTGTGGAATATGTGGTAACAGAGCTCATTGTCATTATCATCACTGAGCAGTTAGCACGATCTTTAATATCAGTATCACAGAACCCATCCATGACCATCCTCCACCGACTGTAGCTGGCCGTAGCTTTCAGTCGAGCCGTTGGACCGAACTCGATGGTGTTGGAATCGCCTCTAAGCGACCCATCATGTTGTTTTCTCGCTTTGCCTTGGCTTTTTGTCCTTTCTGTCGCCCTTCTCCTCCCTTGGTTCATCACTTTGCTTTTTTGCTTTGCCTGGATTCTTTTTCTTCTTCCTCGTCTTTCCCCTCTCCTTCATTTTTGCCCAGTACTCCTTCCATCCCGCCTCACCTACGCCTGGCGACGGAGAAAATGGCAATGTTGGAACGATATACCCATCAGTTCCGAGTGCGAGCCCATACGAAACGCCACACAAACAGCAGAATCAGGCCCGCGACAATCTCAGCCCAAGAAAATCCTCCCCGCGACTGTGAAACACCTCCCGTCCACCCCGCATCCAGCTCACACAGCCCTGATGCCGCTCTTGTGCGGCGCACCACCCCGCCCATCTTCCCGCCAGGGTGAGAGGCAGACGACGCCATATAGTCTCAGGAGCTGAGTGTGCTGGAAAGCCCCACTGACTTCGGAGGTCACCCAACCACCAGCGTCAGTGCGCGGATGCCAACCGTGGCGGCTCGACCGCACTCCACACATACTGCGGCGGCGGTGGCTCGGCAGACCCGCACCTGGACGCATGCCGTAGTCGAAAGTGGCCGGTACGCGGCCGAAGGTTATGTTGTACGGCGTCAGCACGGACGGGTCGATGCTGATGCTCGGAGGCGCCGACAGCCGCACCTCTCGCGGCGCGTCCGAGAAGCTCGAGTGCAAGTCGGTGCCGCCAGGGCCGGCGTCGGCGCGAGCCAGCCGGGCGAAGGCGCCGGCGCGGGCGTCGTGTGACAGCAGGTACTGGCCTGGCTCGAGGTCACCCAGCTCCCGCAGCAGCGACTCCAGCACCTGAGAGGGACGCGGGCCGACGCTGACGACAGGCACAGGATCGCACCCGGACAGGGGCGCATCAAGCAGAGCAGGACGACTACCGCCAGTGACACCGGACAAGACGCAGATCACCCGCAGCTACTCGATCTCAGGCAGGAGAGCGATATCAGCAACAGCAATTAATGGGGAGGGGGGGGGGGGGGGGGCAGATGGGGCAAGGGGTCACCAGCGGTTGACACCCGACACGAGAACAGCTAACAACAGGCAGACACTAATACAAGCCGGCAAAAACCGACGTCAACCAAGGCGGTCACAAACCGGAATCAGTACCGAGCATACCAGCACCAACCAATGTAACGCAACGACCGACTCCTCGCACAAGTCGTGCCCAGCTCGGAGAGCTGATTGGCTACGCTGCTACGGCCAGCATGAGAGAGTTGTGCTCCAGCCCCAACTAGGCGCTGTTAACATCAAACCCTGTAGCTGAACGCCCCAACGACAGAGTTGACTGCGCAGGCACGCTGGAAAAACCAACGACGACCCAGCAGAAGACACCAACCTGAAGACCGTACTGTGGCCGGAATCCCGTGTCATACTTGATAAGCTCGTCGGTCAGCTGTTTGAGGGTCCTCTCCTCTGGAGTGATCACAATCAGACTGACAGGATCCAAGTGCACTGGCGATGACCGAGGCCAGGTCAGGACGGTCGCCGACTTCAACATGCTCCCACACATGACGGGCCAATGCCATGCTTGCGCGAGCCAGGGATACCTCGCATCACTTCGGCACATAATACACGTCCCGCTCGCACAAAACGAGAGGAAGCCAGCGAGCGACAGCAGGAAGCGGAGGGCGCCGCCGGACGACCCTGGCGAGCTGCGGTGCCGCGCCTACCTCGGAGCACGCGGCTGTCAGGCCGCACCAGGCAGTCCAGCCACTGGCGGATCAGCTCGGCCCGGCTCATCTTCTCGACGCCGTAGCCGGGCTGGTAGGCGGGCTTGGCGTGCACCGTGTAGCGGATCAGGCCGACCAGCGGGTTATCCTGGCGGCATGGACACACCGGTCACAGCCTGGTCGACGCCGCAGCGCACGCCACGCGGCCAGTCCGCGCACGCACCGCCGCCGGCCCCGTCACCAACAGGGGCACAGTCTCGCTGTTACCTCAGTCGCTGCCAGTCGGACACGGGTCGTTCGCGAGTCGGCACGCCGCTGGGACACACACCCCATTAATCGCCTACTAGACTCTCGCATCGACCGACTGGAACCTTAGAAGCCCTCACATGCCCATGAGGACATGATCCTCGCCCGTACTTCTACACATGGTAACACGATCTCCTGGGGCGTTTTCGTGAAGTGCGTCGCACTTCTTCAGACGATGCACACCAACAAAGTCCACGTGACCGCTCCCTAAGCACCACAGTTCGATCATCGCCGCCGACCGACCAGTACGCGACGCGCGCATGACGCACCCGCATGCCGTGTGTGGCCGTGCGCAGCAGCAGCTGGTGGCGGCCCAGCTGCCAGGCCCGGTACTCGACGTTCAGACCAGGCGGCGGCCGGCGGAAGGCTGGGTCGGCGCCGTCGCCGCGGCGCGCCTCCGCCCCTGGGCCTGACTCCGGCGCCGCGGCGGCCGCCGAGGCTGCGGCGGCGGCGGCTGCCGGCTGTTCCTCGCCTCCTTCCGGAGAGAGGGCGGACTCCTCCGCCTCGACCTCCGCACTGCGGGCGGGCCCGTCCGACCCCGCCTCCGTCTCCGGCTCTGGCTCCAGCTCCAGCTCCAGCTCCGGCTCCGGGTCCTCGCAGTCGATGCGCAGCTGCTCATCGTCCGAGTCGACCGACATGTCATCGCAGGAGCCGGCGTCGGCCGGCTGCACACCGGCCGTCGACTCGGGGGACGGACAGGCCGGCGAACTGACGCTCTCATCCTCCTCTTCCTCCTCCTCCTCCTCCAGCGATGGAGACGGCTGGGACTGTTGCTTCCCTTTCCCCTTCTTCTTTGACTTTGCAGATTTCTTGCCGGGTTTGCAAAATCTGACAGCAACAGCGTCGTCAATGAGAACATCATGTTAGAGGGAGTGTTCCACATTTGTGCGGGACTTTGAGCTGAAATGGCCGTCTTGAAGATCATTCGGTGCAGTTTGCAGCCTTGCCCTTCTTAAGACCTAAAGCCCTTTAATTTCTCATCTACACGCCTGCAAACATGTGCAACTTGTTTGGGGGAGACCACTTCAAGGTCATCAAGGCACCCATGGCCTCATAATAACATCATTCAACTCTTGTCATTGCATTAGCCATGCGGCGATGAAGGCCAAGAAAAATATCATTGTCAAGTCGTTCATATCTGGCGCTCGTGAGCACGATTCCGGATATAACGTCCGTCAAATGGTTTTCAATCAATGTTGTGCGAGGTACGATGACGCAATCAAACGATGACATAGTAAGCATTGTATTTACTTAACAGAGAAACTGCGTTGTCTAGAGCAGATTTTTACACTTCAAAATATAATAATAGTAAGTAAGCTTATTTCGTTGTCTCGTTTCGCTTCGTTACATCTGATGCTTGCTTCAATATCTTCAGATGTGGAACGTTCGTTTCAACGACGTGCTAATGCCGGTGATTAATCATGGACATCAGATGTGGTTTTAAGAAATGAAATTCCATAAAAGTAATGCAAATGCACTGCTTTTTTCGAATGAACAATACTATGACTAGACATCCCAGATTCAAATAGAATGTTCCATCAAGCTCAAAACTGAAGCCATCATGGGCGAAATCACGCCACCAACCAACGCTCTCAGCAAATCCACACAAGCTTCGCCCTGCAACTCATGCCCTCCCCTCCAAAAGACATGCAAAGCCTGCCCCTGCCTCCCTGCCCGTGGCCGGGCTGACGGTGGTCCGGCCAGCCGGGTGACTCACCTCCTCCTGTCCTGCTGCGGCTGGATGCTATAGTCGACCGGGCCGTCCGGACGCCGCTTGCAGACCAGCAGGCGCACGGTGCGCTTGTGCGCGCGCGCGTTCCGCTCCATGTTGGTGAGACTGCGCGGCGGCAGTGGCTTGTCCAGGAGCACCAGGCTGGCGGCACAGCGGCGAGGTCAGTCACGTCTGGGGTTACGGGCGGACCGCGGGGCGGGGCGGGGCGGGGCGGGGCGGGGCGAGGCAGGGGCAGGGGCAGGGGCAGGGGCAGGGGCAGGGGCAGGGGCAGGGGCAGGGGCAGGGCCCGGGCCAGGGCAGGACATGGGCATGGGCAGAGGCAGGAGTGGGGCCAGGACAGGGGCAGGGACGGGGCAAGGGCAGGACAGGGGCAGGGGCACGGTTGCGCAACGGTCTGTCGCCAGGATACAGGCGACCGCGACAATACACATGGCGCAGAGCCAGCCCAGAGCTATGTAGGGTTCATGGACGCAGTGACAAATGGCGCACCAGCATCTCTTCAACATCTCACATACTGAGAACGTGTAAACACTAACATTAACACAACACGAACTCCAACGAAGCTGGCAACAAAAAGATTAAAAAAGCTCGACAAAGGTGCCCACAGAGACAATGGCGCCGATCCAACGACAGAGCGGACGAGACCGGGGCGGTGACCACCACGCCAGCGGCCGGCTACCGGAGGGCGCCGGCACCAGCGGCGCCGCGCCGCCCACTGACCGACGCGTGCGGCCCGGCTGGCGGCACGCCACGTCGCGCACCGTGACGGGCACGTCCCACTGACGCTCCCAGGGCGCGCCGTTGTCTAGCAGCGTCTTCAGCACGGACGGCGTGGCCACGAAGCCGAAGTCGAGCGCCGTGGCCAGGCGGGTCACGTTGGGGTCGGCGCTGACTGCGGCAGGAGGCGCCGCGCGTCAGTCGGCGGTCGGGGGCAGGAGGCGCCGCGCGTCAGTGGGCGGTTGGGGACAGGTGGCATCACACGTCAGTCGGCGGTCGGGGGCAGGTGGCGCCGCGCGTCAGTCGGCGGTCGGGGACAGGTGGCATCACACGTCAGTCGGCGGTCGGGGGCAGGTGGCACCGCGCGTCAGTCGGCGGTCGGGGGCAGGTGGCGCCGCGCGTCAGTCGGCGGTCGGGGACAGGTGGCGCCGCGCGTCAGTCGGCGGCCGGGGGCAGGTGGCGCCGCGCGTCAGTCGGCGGTCGGGGACAGGTGGCGCCGCGCGTCAGTCGGCGGTCGGGGGCAGGTGGCGCCACGCGTCAGTTGACGGTCGGGGACAGGTGGCGCCGCGCGTCAGTCGGCGGCCGGGGGCAGGCGGCGGCGCGCGTCAGTCGGCGGTCGGGGGCAGGTGGCGCCGCGCGTCAGTCGGCGGTCGGAGGGTCGGCGGTCGGGGGCAGGTGGCGCCGCGCGTCAGTCGGCGGTCGGGGGCAGGTGGCGCCGCGCGTCAGTCGGCGGTCGGGGACAGGTGGCGCCGCGCGTCAGTCGGCGGTCGGGGGCAGGTGGCGCCGCGCGTCAGTCGGCGGTCGGGGGCAGGTGGCGCCGCGCGTCAGTCGGCGGTCGGGGGCAGGTAGCGCCGCGCGTCAGTTGACGGTCGGGGGCAGGTGGCGCCGCGCATCAGTCGGCGGTCGGATGCAGGAGGCGCCGCGCGTCAGTCGGCGGTCGGGGGCAGGTGGCGCCGCGCGTGAGTCGGCGGTCGGAGGGTCGGCGGTCGGGGGCAGGTGGCGCCGCGCGTCAGTTGACGGTCGGGGGCAGGTGGCGACGCGCATCAGTCGGCGGTCGGATGCAGGAAGCGCCGCGCGTCAGTCGGTGGTCGCGGGCAAGAGCCGCCGCGCGTCAGTCGGGGGCAGGTGGCGCCGCGCATCAGTCGGCGGCCAGAGGCAGGCGGCGCAGGCCGCGACGGAGGCATCGCCGACCAGAGCGCACCAGCCAGCAGGCCGGCAGCATGAGTTAGGCGGCATCAGGCGGCTACATACGCCAGACGGGAACACGCTGCTGGTCCCACCGAATCGGAACTGTATTTCAGGATTCGGGAATTAAGAAGACCTACGAGTAGTGCGGCAAGACCGCGGTCATCTACGGAGGCCTGCGCGAACGAGCCCTCCACACACACGCAAACGCTCTTCTTCGGGGTTTGCGCGAGCGCTTGGGGGCTAGCCCAGAGTACGGTCGACCTAACCTAGCAGCTGTGGTCAGGCAGGTGCGAGCAACGGTGGAGCCGTCGGCCGATGGCCGACGACCGCGGCACACCCGCTGGGACGGGCAGCTCTGGGGATCGACGAAGAAGCGATGTGAGGAGCGGCGCGGACCCGTTAGCCTTGTGCTGGAATCAATATGGAGTGACACCTTGAGCTTCTGGTTTTCTGGCATTGAGTTCAGAGTTCTTATGCTGACAGCTACCGACCCTCAATACACCACGAGGTACTGCTTCAACGACGTTATCCAGCAAAGATGGATGGTATTACCAATACTTAACTTTTCCAGATGGGCTTATGATGGGTCATGATCATAAGCACATATAACCAATATTTGATCCATAATGTTGTTGAACCAGCACCTCCTGGAATACCGGACGCTTAGAGCAATCAGCAAAATAACCCGATACTCTGCATTAGCAGTATGCATGCGAGATCCATGCGTACAGACAACTGTGGCCGACGCCAATTACCTGGGTCTTTGTACAGAAAAGTACCATCCCGGGGCTTCCATCCATCGGTTCGCGTCTTCGGGTAGCATTGGGAAGATGGGAAGAACTGCTCCAAGAACACGCACTGCTTTTTGAGATCCGTGTAGTAGGTCATGTCGGGTATGACACACACGGGCACCTCGCCCAACTCTAGCGGCTCGCCCAGATGACTGAAGTTCGGCGGTTCGCCGGCAGGTGGCGCCAGCGGCAGCATGCCGATCTGCCTGTAGTGGCCTGGGTACTCCCTGACGCGCTGGAGCTTCGTCTGGCGGTTGGGGTGAAGCACATCAGTTGACCTCACCAGCCAGTTCGCCAAATGCCGACCAAAACACGTGCTATGCTGTTATACAATGCCCCGCACAAAAGCCAGTTCTCCGAGCATGCCCCTCTGACTACTGCCAAAACTTCCACAGAGCCGCCACTTCAAAGGCAACCTCCGCGCGTCCGTCCAGTCCAGTGGGCAGCACCCGGGATATGACTCACCCTCATGGCCTTCTCCACATAGCGCCGGATGGGGACGTGCGTGAAGTTGTAGCGGCCCAGTTGGGTGGCGTTCACCTCCCTTGTGAATGTGAAGAACTCATCTTGCTCCTGACGCATCTCCTCAATGAATCCCTGACGAGGTGCAGAACAACAAAGTCTCAGTAACTTAGATGTCACTGCCGGGTACGAATGACACGCAATGATGATATCCCATGAGGAACATGCTAACAGAGCTGGCGGAGTGCAAGATGACACTGGTAATTACCAGCCCACCAAGAATGGAATACGTTTACGACACGTTAGTAGCTCCACCCCTCCAGATGAAAACGGCTCATTAGTATCCTTCATGTGATCGCTTTTGCAGACGATCGCACCCTATACCAAACGTACACCTGCGCCCAGCATCATAATCATGTGAGCCCACGACCAAGCCAAAGGCTGGCTGCCAGCGGAGAGCGGCCGCCACTCTCGCCGTAGAGAGCCGCACCACGAGTTTCTGCACGTCTTGCGCCTCCGCCGGCGGCGGGTTGGTCGGAACGCCAGTGGCCCAGTAGCGCAGCATCATGTCCACGACAAACCGCTGTTGCGTCTTCGACCAGTGCGAATAGCGCGGGTACGGCACCGGCCGCTTGAACTTCGCCACCCACAGCTTCGCCTCGCGCACGCCGGCCACCTGGCGGCAGATAGAAAAAACCGTACGTCTAGCGCCCGCCGGTAAGTGGCCGCCCGAAGGCGGGTCGGCGGCACCGCCGGCGCGTGCAACCCGCCGGCAATCGGCCGGCGGGCAACCGGCGGTCTGTAGCTCGGACAGTAGGTGTAACTTGGCTACCAGGGAGGTGGAAGTAAGCGGCACCACAACCAATGAGAAACTAGCGGTACTAACGTATTAACAGCAATAGTACTAACATTGACGCCAGCACAAACGTGTACTACGTGTCCAAACATCTTGGCATGCCACATGGCTAGTCAGTTGCAACCCGTGGTAATGATCTGACGGCGTAGTATTTTGGAAACAGTATGTCGTACATCCCTTTTGATTATGCAAAAAAGACGGTCGCTTTTCGTTTACATATCAGACTGTCGAGCAAGAAATTCACGATGCCCTGTTGTTCTTGTAACTGCGCTTACGGAAGTGCGTAATGTGTCATCAGCATTTTATTGATACTAACCCTCTTCTCAGCCAAAACAGCCAACCATGCAGAGCTAAGAATGTAATATCACTCCAGCATTGACTTCAATATTTCCTTAGTGTGTCGTAGTCGTCTTGCAGTAGACATAACTACAAGAAGGCATCCGGCCAACAAGGAGACACAAGAGCTCCTCGAGGTTGGCCTACCTCAGGTTTCGCACACACCCTCAAAACTAGTTACCGGGCCTACACAAATTTAGCTATAAATACGATCCTTAGACCGACAGAGCTTGTGCAAACGGTTTTTGAATATTGCTTCAGGGGGACTTCCCGCAACTTCGCTTGTCAGTTCATTCCGATGGTTCACTACTCTTTAACTAAATGACACCTGCCTCTTCATAGTTATACTCCAACCTTTTGCTAGATGAAACTGGTTTCCTCTATGTCTCGGCATAATTTCCAGTGCTCCATGTAGATCTACCTTGACCCACAGATTTCTAGTGCTCCATGTAGATCTACCCTACAGCGCCCAATCAGCGGTGCAGCTCTGTTTATTGAACTGAGCAAAGCGTCAATGCTGAAGCCAAACTGGACGAGCGTGCCGCTACGCAAAACGTGCAAAGGTGAGAACTAGATTTCGGCCGTCAGAATCGTCAGAAGAAACCACACCTTTCGCAGCGTTGACCTAGAGCGGGTTTGTAGGCTGAAGTTGGTTGCCCACACATGCCTGGTAACATGGTGCTATGTACGGGCACGAGACCTCCGCACAATGAGACTGTGGGGGGCAGCAGCAGGCAGCTAGCGCTGCCATGAGCTCGCTAGGTACGGGCACAAGATCTCCACACAATCAGAATGTGGGTGGCAGCAGCAGGCAGGTAGTGTTGCCATGAACTCTAGATAGATCCAGTTCGATATTGCATCTTTCTGGCCACGCTTCTCACTAAATGAGGACTCATTTTGATGTTCTAAAGGAGACGTGGTGCAATGTGGTGAGCTCCACATGGTGGATTGTGGGTATTGCTAACACACAAAGCCAAAAATTGAACTACTTTGACAAGTGCAAGGTGTGGGTGGACATACTACATTAGGACAAAACAACCAAAATTTGTATGTGTCAAACCCATTTCACACCCTATGACAGAACAATAACTTCTGTAGGGAATGAGTGGGCCAATTCAAACATAATTATATATGAAGTGATGTACAACTGCCAGCAGTACAAGGGTAAACCATGCTGACTAAGGGGTGGATCAGTGTCAGTCCAGTTGGAGAGCACCCAGCAGGAACAAGCTGGCTGAGGGATGACACCTTCTGCTAATTCAGGATATGACAGGGTGTCCACAGTGGTAAAAGAATTGTGTGAGTGGACAATTTAGCAGTTAAAACTTTACTGGATATAAGCCAGCTAAACTACATTGGATGCATGAGAAACATGTTACACACTACCCAAGCAGTCAAAACACCTGGAAGTGCTCAAACAACCAGGAATCCAAAATCTGTGAGGAGGCTGGTAATGCATAAAGTCACAGGCTACATGGCAAAAGGTTGCTTGGTACACATAATCATCAGCAAAAGATTGTACCAGAAACTCTGGTCTGCAGGTGCTGCAAGCCATTAGAAGGAATAGCAGCAATATCCATTATTGTGAAACTCAGTCTCAAACACAAAACAAGTTGAGGCAGCTCATGTGACTAAATTCACATTGTAAACAATGGATACACGATAACATGATCATGTGATGAAAATCAAATAAGCTCACAAAAGAGACATGTGCTACATCAAGAACTCATGAGCCCACTTTATCTTCTTGCTTGGCTGGTTGCAAATGGGGTGATGCTTATGAACAGGGGCTCAGCTAGGGGTGAAAAATGTTCTGGTGCAGTTTAACTTCATAAAATGTTGCATATGTCTCAATGATGCAGACATCACCAGCAGTGCACTACCAACCTTCTGGTTCAGATCCTGGACATCCTTCTGCTGCCTCAGCTCCTCCTCTCGCACGGTGTCCCATTGCCGGCCCACCTCTGCGATCTGTTCGTCATACATGGGCATGCCCTCCTCGATGTCCGAGCCGTCCCAATGCTCTGCTCCCGACAGCAGCCGGTGCACGTGCGACTGCCCCTCCAGGTCATCCTCGTGCAGAAACGCGCCACGGTACCGCAGTATCTTGTTGTGCCTACGGAATTAGCATTCAGCTTGCTTACAATGCATGTACTTTAAATATTCCTCTTTTATTACTATACATGGTGCCTGACGTCTTAAAACCGTCAGTTGACAATATAACATTGCATTGCAAGGTGCCGATGCAAACTGTGACCCCACTCTACACAAATCGATAACTGGATTGAACCGCTGACAGTATGCCATGCTACCCAAGACATACCCTAATAATAAACATACCCCACGTGCCCCGGTAACAAAACACAAAATGAGTGGAAATGCACTTACCAGTTCAGTTCAGCCATCGCTTCCTAATACCGCTTGGTATCTGAAACAGAATGGCACTCACATCCCATGCGCAAAACCAACACAACAGCCCAATTCCCAATACACCGTGACTACAAGGCCGCGTGTACCACCAACATGCGCGAAACACCTTACGTATTCCCGCCGCTCACCCCCGTAGCGGAGCATCCGCGAGGCGAAGCTCAAAGCATCCGCTGTTGATGACGTCATGGGCTTCACGGAGGATGATGGAGGGTGTCGCGGTTTGGAGTAGGATTCGAAGAAGGGTTTATTGCTTGTGCATCGGGGAATGTCATAAGGTTTTTGAGGATTCAAGACCAGATCTGAAATTTATTGGTGTGAGACTACTGGAAAGAAACTTTAGTATGGTTGCGTCTCACATGCGGCCAAGAATACATCGTCATGAGAGCCGAAAGGGAAATGTATTAAGACTCCGCTTTAAAATCGAATGAACTTAACTGTGTTAAATGCTCCCAGCTTATACAGATTTATGTTTACAGAAGTCTACGACCTTTTGAAATATAATTGTAGCCAATTCAAACTGTAAAATATATTTTATGACGTCATCAACAGCTGATGCTGTTTATTATCTACCATTTCAAAAGATGCTTAACCTCAATGATTTCTTAATGTTGTGGCACGGAATGGTACGGAAGTGGAACGTCAGCCGTCTGGGGGGACGGGTCCGGGTCCGTGGGAATGCTTGTGAGGTAGTTGGGCCTTCGTTCTCGACTTGTGAGATGGGGCGAGTTTGACCCCTTGATGACCTGGTGAAGCCTCCTGCTGGTGACCAAGATCTGCCAAGGATAATGACGACAATACCTGGGTGGGTGTCAAAAAGAGTGATGTCTGATCACTTACCTTCTAGGTGATTCGGATGATTGCGTCCCCATCTTAGATTCTTAGGTCCGCCTTCATTGGAACACGTTTGAACGTCTTAAGGTGAAATTTGGGTTATATCAGCACTTCATGTAGCTGATTAAAAGCTATCTTGCCTGTTGTATTGGTGGTTTGTTTGTGCCACAGAGCACCCTCATTTAGGTGCAAATTACAGTGTGAGAGATTGGGAACTAGATGCAGAATTCCAGACTGTCTTACAAAGTGACCTCCCTACATTTAGCCGCTTCACAGTGTTGTGTTTGAAGGGTCCTGGCAGTGCTAGCCCATCATCATTTCTTTCATTTCATTTAGCAATATTCATGTGAATAATTGTTGGCAATTCAACAGTTTAAGCACCTCTAGGACCCTACATGCTGGATGATTGCAGGGGTCAAATCTGGGACCTCTCCTTGTGCTTATATATATATATATATATATATATATATATATATCAAGTGGGTGGTGGGTTCTGGGTGCCCTGGTGGCAACAACCATGTCTTGTTATTGTAATTGTTATGAGGGGTGCTCAGATTTCAGTGCATTCACAAAGCATTCATTGTATGCACTAATCCACTCATGTTATGTACTGCTTTATGTCCATAACAAACTTTATGTCCAGAATGTCAAAAGTAAACATCAAACAAACAAACAGTTCTGGGCATGGGGAGTCAGCAAAAAATGCATGTGCTGAACATGTCTGGTGTAACAGAAGCTGTGGTGCAATAATTTTGGTGTATGCATGATGTAAATCTAAGCTTTCAGGGTTTGGCACACTCACCAATTTCAGTGCATAGAGAGCCAGAGTCTCAACACAGCAAAGTCACCAGTCTCTCCACAACAGGATCCTTCTGACCCACACAGTGGCCTCCAAACCCAGCAAAGGGCCTCATTATTCCAAAGCAGGGTATCCTGATCCATAGCAGCATCCTTCAAATTCATGAGAGAAGCTTTCTGGTCCAGAGAAATAGTGGCCTCCTTACTGCAGAGGATGCCTCTGAAGCCAGAACAGGGATTCCAAGTTCATAATGGGGATGATCTGAACCAGCAAATGGACATTTTTATCATGAAATGGGGCCTCTTAGTGTAGATGATCTCCTCAGCCTGATTTTGTGCCTATGTGGGTCTCATTTATGTGGGTCATGAAATATATGTAGCTTAAAAATATGTTGTTTGGGCAAAAGGGTTTTATAACTAGGAGAGGAAAATTCACCTTTATGCTGCTGTTGTATGCTATAACTGCCCCCCCCCCCCTGCCCCTTTCCTGCCTCACCTGCTGTGCCACCCTTGCTACAGCTTAATAGTAATGCTTCATTCAAATGTGTCACATGATGTTTGTTGCAATGTGTGTCTTGACTGCAGTCTCAAGGTCTAAGCATTCCAAAAATTGTTTTAAAAACAATGAAAACGTGTAGGGGACGGCTTTATATTGATACATCTTACATTGATTTTGCAAACCTTCCTTTGGCTGGTTGCACTGGCACATTTTGTAAGTCATTACATATTTCTGAAGTAGGGCAGTGCATCTCATGACAAAGGAATACTTTTGTACCTGGCTTGCATTTCGTCTTGAAGGGGTCATATGGGGATTGTGATTGTGCTCAGGGATTGTGAAACAATTTCAAATAGCTAGGAAAGCTGTAAGTGACAGACTCCAAGTTCCACTTACTTTACTTAAAAGTTATTTTTAATTTGAATCTAAGCAGGATTTGCTTCCTTGGCTCAACCATGACTCCACCTAAGTAATATTTAGTTGATCATTTCATTGGTGTGCTTTGGTGTCTGTGGAACTGATTTCAGTGATAGAAACTGGAGCATGCCTGCCTGAAATTGTTTTGCAGGCTACAAAATACTGTGCAGGACATCCATTTTGACTGAAAGATGGTAAAATGTTGATTGGCCTGTTTGCTGCACATTGGGTCACATCAAAATATTGACATCTATAGTTGCTGACATTTAGAATTTAGTTGACCCATCATGACAATATGACTCAATCAACTTTAATGTGATGTGAACAACTGTGCAGATCGATCCAACCTGACTAAAGGCAAACCTGTGCAGCAAAAGGCTTCCAGCACTAGGTCAAGTGAAGAATTAAGTGCAAGCACAGAGTTAAGCAAAAGTCTGACAATCACATGGCAGAGCTCATTTGCAGGATAGCGGTGCCAGTAGTGTGGCGATTAACGCATCTGCGTTATCCACTGTGCATCTGGGAAATTAGAGTCACAGGGTTTGATTCCCCGCGGTACCTGCCCTTCCTGCCAGTGTGAGAGGCACGCGACGCCATATAGCCTCAGCAGCTGAGTGCATCGTAAGGCCCCATTGACACACACATGACACTTTTGTGTGGTGTTACAGGCAATGCTGAAACAACAGCAACTTAGCAAGTTTTTCTCAAGATCTTTGAAGTCCTACCAACCTCTTAATCAAGCAACTTCTGAGGTGCGTTAAGAATGGCCCAGACAGACCAGGACGATGCACAGTGGCTGCACGATGTCCTGCTGGAAGTCCAGCTGGAAAAGTTCTTCACCAGAATCAAGGATGAACTGCAGGTGAGAAGACCGCCATTTTGTGGTACCTTCCAGATTTGTGAGGCATAACCATTCCAACTGTGTACCACTGTGCATGTAACCTTTCATGGATTGGCAGAGAAGGGGAGTGATGATTGGCAGCCTGATGCTTATTTCAGGTTGTACCCAACTCTTAACTCTAATGCTTTGTGAAACAGAGAGTTTATTAAGGGTCACCCAAATCACGAAGATAATACTGCTGTGGGAAAACATAGTGTGAGCAGCATGCCCTATGATAAGAAATATCCGTCTGCTGGACTGGCTTAGTGCTATGCATTTTCTATAGATCTGTTCACAAAGCAGTCACCAAAGACCACGTGTAATGCAGAGTGGTGACGTGGCATGACGGCTGGCGACTGTCTGGCCGGCGGTGTGTGCCGGCGCCCCGCCGCTCTCGCTGCCCCGCCGTCCCCCGCCCGTCCTCCGAGCGCCGCCGCCCGTCCCCAGGTCACGCGCATGTCGCACTTCGACTACGTGCGTCCGGAGGACCTGGAGAAGATCGGGCTGGGCAAGCCGGCGGCGCGCCGGCTGTTGGAGGCGGTCCGCCGGCGCCGCCAGCAGCTGTGGCGCCGCAACCTCATCAGCAAGCTGATTCCGCTGCGGCCGCGGCCGTCGGCGGCGCCCGACGCCGGCCAGACGGCGCGCCCGGCCGTGCGCTCGCCGCCCACCGTGCGGCTCACATGCCTGATACAGGAGAAGGTACGCCGCCGTCCCCGCTCGCGCCACCGCGCGGGTTAACTGCTGGCGGGCGGTGTCTGACCGTGAGGTGGCGACCGCTGAGGTCTTGGCATCGGGAGGTGGGTCCGCCTTTGACCGCGTGTCAAGACGCGCGTGCCCGTGCCAAAGCTGTACAGCCGCCATGACTGCTGTCCTGACCCCGGGCGGCGCCCGTGAGCCGCGTGCCGTGCCGTACCGTACCGTGCCCCCCCCCCCCCGGCGCCGTTTGTGATGCCGTCGCCCCCCCCCCCCCGGCCACCGCCAGGACCTGACCCTGCACGAGCGGCTGGGCGACGGCTCGTTCGGTGTGGTGCGCCGCGGCTCGTGGAGCGACCACGCCGGACGCTCGCTCTCGGTCGCCGTCAAGGTGCTCAAGCAGGAGTCGCTCAACCAGCCGGGCGTGTTCGAGGACTTTGTCAAGGAGGTGGAGGCCATGCACCAGCTGAGCCATCATAATCTCATCACGTGAGTGCGGCGGCTTCGTTCGGTGTGCTGCTGGAGTGTCACTACTCCGTCGCGGTGTGCTGCTGAAGTGTCACTACTCCGTCTCGGCGTACTGCTGGAGTGTCACTACTCCGTCGCGGTGTGCTGCTGGAGTGTCACTACTCCGTCGCGGTGTCGTCAGTTGGGTGTTGCCGCACCGTCATAGAATCGTTTGGTGAGTGTCGCCACGCCGTTGCGCGTCGTCGCGGAGTTCGCATTCAGCCTGCAAGCTGTTTTGCCATTGCGTCAGTTGGCTGACTCTTGCATGTTGTGTATATCCTCCTGAGTAATTAGTGGCTGGCCATTGTGCTGACATCGTAAAGTCTCTTCATGGGAACAGCACTGTCCGCTAGGGTGTCGATTTTACTGTCCTTCCACGTTTGTGGGCTGTTCCCTGTTTGTGGACTGAGCTATACTTAATTGTTGCAGTAATTGTGCGACTGGATTTTCATAATTGATGTTATCCTTTTGTAGTGACGTCATCCGCGTGGTCCTCACGATGGGAACATTATCGTTTGAGATTTACAGGGAATCTTTCACATTTGAAGCTATTGAAGCAAGCATCAGATATGATGAAGCAAGCTCACTTGTAACTACTGGTGTGCTATTTAAGTGAAAAATACCGCTCTAGACAGCACAATTCTCTGTTTAGTGGATATGATCCTCAATGTGCCATGGTTTAATTACGTCATCGTACCTTTGACAACATTAATTGATAGCCAGTTGACGGCCGTTATATCTAGAAGATGCGCTCACAAACGCTGAATATGAACGTCTCGACAAACGTATTTTTCTTGGCCTTAATCGCCGCGCGGCTTATGGAATGAGGAGGATTTAAATGACGTAACTATGGCGTCACGAATGCTAAGATGACCTTGAAATGCTCACCCCGATGTGCCTTTTCCCATTTTTGCGGATGTGTAGCTCAGAAACTAGAGGGGCTTAGGCTTTATGAAGGGCAGTATTGTGAACAGCACTGAAATGTCTTCAAGATGGCTGTTTCGGCTCAAAACCCCATATACATGTGGAACACTCCCTTTAAGTGATAATGCACAGCATGCTACCTTAAGTGTAACTTCGTCAGCTATTGCTAGAACATTTGCTGAGATGTTAATGTGACCAAGCAAGCGATCCGTTCAGTTGAGCTTTCCCAGCCTCTGCTTGCGGGGTCGTCTGAGTGCAATGTTTATGACAGTCGGCCGGAGGCCACTCGAGGTGAATAACGAGCCTTGAGATCGGTTGGAACTGAATCGATTTTACAGCTGTAATCCTTCCTTGACGCGGTGTTACGCCCTGACCTGACCCGGACCATCTGTGTTGGCCGCAGCCTGTACGGCATCGTGTTGGGTCAGCCGATGATGATGGTGACCGAGCTCGCCCCACTCGGGAATCTGCAAGACTACCTCAGGAAGCAGATCTGCAGGATATCGCTCCTTGGTGGGTGCCCCCGGAGGCTTCGACGGCGCCTCTTGTCATGCGCGTGGCTCCCACTGTTTGCTCATCCACGCTTTTTTGATGGGAGGTCCTAATGCAGCTGCATAGTGGCGGCGTGTCTGTGCTGAGCCGCTTCAAGGCGTTAATGCCCCATGATTGGACTGGGCTCGGTTGGGAAATGGGTGGTGGCTTTATGTCCCGGGTTGAACAGTGATCAGTTACGACCCACGTGGTGGTTCGTACACGTCTGTGTGTCACGTGCTAGGGCTGCCAGCGGACATGTGACGGCCACCTTGGCCGCAGTGCTGTCACGCGTGCCGCAGTGCTGTCGGGCCGCATGTGCTGTGGTGCAGTCGTACTACATCCTACTACGTGCTGCCTTGCTGCAATGCAGTCGGACCACAAGTGACTGCCGTGGCGCAGTTGGACTGCATCTGACTGCGTGCTGCAGCCCTGCCGGACTACTTATGACTGCTGCGGTACAGTCGGACCACATCTCACTACGTACGACAGTGCAGTCGAGCTGACTGCACACGATGTGCCGCAGTGCTGTCGGACTACGCCCGCCAGGTAGCCGCCGGCATGGCGTACCTGGAGTCGCGCCGCTTCGTGCACCGGGACCTGGCGTGTCGCAACGTGCTGTTGGCCGCCGCTGACCGGGTGAGCGTCGGCCGCCCTCGTACCAGACGGGACGCCCGGCGGCCGCCGACCCGCGCGCCGGCCCGGCCGGGGTGTGTGTCTGACGGTCTGCCTCCGGGGTCCGGACGTGACGGCGGCGGTGGCTGGCGGCCACGGTAGTGTGCGTGTGTGTGTGTGACGATCTTTGTGCCCTCCTGTCCGATTGGCTGTGCTGCTTGCTTCGCTGGCATCTAGCGTGGTTGTGTGGCTTGAATTGTCAGAGAGCCGAAGTCATGGTGGCGACCTGCTTTTTTAAGCTAGGTTGTGAATGCTTTGCCTTCGACATCTAGAGGCCACTGCATGCCGAAATGCCATAAAATACTGGATATCAACGATGCGCGGAGTCTTGTCACGGACGCGTGCAACAGTAAATAACTTTTTCAGTGAGTGGTGCAATCGTGATAGGCTATCTAGTGTTAAATTGAACATACGCAGTTTCCCAAAATAAGTTATGGTTTGCCTATCAATATTCCACTTATGTTTCGCGTGCTCTACATTGTCCAAACTAAGCATGGTTATTGCTGTGAACCAGGCCGCCGCCGTCTTAACCCGGGCCTGTTCGTGGTCAGTCTGCGTGCCTGTCCCGGCCTTGGGGCCGTGTGCAGGCGCCCGCCTCCGCCAGCTGCTCACCGTCGCCGTTCCGCTTCCTCAGCTGAAGATCGGCGACTTCGGGCTGATGCGGGCCATCCCACTGCAGGAGGACTGCTACGTGATGACGGAGCAGAAGAAGGTGCCGTTCCCCTGGTGCGCCCCGGAGAGTCTGAAGACGCGGCAGTTCAGTCACGCTTCCGGTCAGTCTGCCAGTAGCAGGCCGGTGCGTGGCGATCCGGTGGGGTGGCGTGGTTCGACGTGGCCGTCGACGTGTGGATGCTCGGTGTGACGCTGTGGAAGATGACGACGCGGTCCGGTGTTCCTGCGGACGTGTGGATGTTTGGTGTGACGCTGTGGGAGATGATGACGTGGTCCGTTGTCCCTGCAGACGTGTAGGTGTTTGGCGTGACGCTGCGGGAGATGATGACGCGGTCCGGTGGCCCTGCAGACGTGTGGATGCTCGGTGCGGCGCTGCGGGAGATGATGACGCGGTCTGGTGTCCCTGCAGACGTGTGGATGTTTGGCGTGACGTGGTGGGGATGATGACGTGGTCTGGTGTCCCTGCAGACGTGTGGATGTTTGGCGTGACGTGGTGGGGATGATGACGTGGTCTGGTGTCCCTGCAGACGTGTGGATGTTTGGCGTGACGCTGGGGATGATGACGTGGTCTGGTGTCCCTGCAGACGTGTAGGTGTTTGGCGTGACGCTGCGGGAGATGATGACGCGGTCCGGTGGCCCTGCAGACGTGTGGATGTTTGGCGTGATGCTGTGGGGATGATGACGTGGTCTGGTGTCCCTGCAGACGTGTGGATGTTTGGCGTGACGCTGTGGGAGATGATGACGCGGTCCGGTGTCCCTGCAGACGTGTGGATGTTCGGCGTAACGCTGTGGGAGATGATGACGTTCGGAGAAGAGCCATGGGTCGGCCTGAACGGCGCGCAGATACTGCAGAAGATCGACTCGGAGGGTGTGAGACTACGGCAGCCGGATGCCTGCTCGGACCAGCTCTATCAGCTCATGCTGCAGTGCTGGTCACACAGGTCTGTCCAGCTCTATCAGCTCAGGCACCGAAGTGTCCAGCTCTGTCAGCCTATCTGCTGAAGTGTCCAGCTCCATCAGCCCACGCGCCTAAGTGCCCAGCTCTATCAGCTCATGTGCTGAAGTGTCCAGCTCTGTCATCTCATGTACCAAAGTATCCAGTTCTATCAGAGCACGTGCTGAAGTGCCCAGTTGCATCAGGCCATGTGGCGAGGTGTTCAGCTCTATCAGTTCATTTGCCAAAGTGTCCAGCTCTATTAGCCCATGTGCTGAAGTGTCCAGTTCTATCAGCCCATGTTCTTAAGGATCCAGCCCTATCAGCCCATGTGCGTAAGTCGCCGCTACTCCGATGTCTGCAAAGCTCTTGTTGATCAATAATTGATGTACTTGAATGTTATCTGTCGGCTGGACAGATAGTTGCTCCATTTCCTTGAGCAATACTTGTGACTAAGTAAACGGCCGTGGATTACATAGCAAGGATGGCGTTGGCGCCACGCAATACCTCACGTATGGACTGTCACACGTAATGGTGACAGATGGTGACTGCAGTCAGCCAACGGGCCGTGTTCTTCTCCCGCCAGGCCGGCGGACCGTCCCAACTTCGCCGCCCTCTCCGACTTCCTGCTGGAGACGCGGCCGGTGGCCATGCGGGCCACGCGCGACTTCTCGGAGGACGGCAAGCTGCAGGTGCAGGCCGGTGACCAGATCATCATCATCGACGGAAAGTAAGCGCTGGCACGGCGGCGTCCGCCGGGTGTAGTGGCGCACCGTCTGCTCCCAATCGGATGGGAGCAGGTGCGCTCTGCCTGCGCGTTTGTTTAAGCTTGAGCTCGATGGCCGATACCTCCCGTGGCAGGTTTGCTCCCTCGGGTGTGTCCGCGATCCGCGGGCCGTGTCGGCGATGCTAGGACCGCGGCGTGGAGAGCAGCACGCGGCAGCAGTCTGGGAACGCCGTGCTGTCGCGCAGGGCGGAAAACTTCTGGTGGAAGGCGCAGTCGGAGGCGAGCTGGGAGATCGGCTTCCTGCCGCGACAGGCGGTGGAGCCGCTTCGACGCCGCAACCAGGAGGACATCAGCCAGCCACTCCACAACTCATTCATACACACAGGTCAGTGGAGGGCAAGCTCAAGAATCAGCAGGCCAGCGCAGCTGTCGCGCGCGCGTGTGAGAGGTAGTGACGCGGTGCGCACCGGCGGTCTTCTGTTGCGGCCAGCTGTGAACCGCAACTGCGCGAAAATGCGCTTTGTTGGATGCCCGACGCTATCACGCTGTCGTTCGTAAACGCGATGTGTAGCGCATTGAGACTGCGCTACCAAATCACCGCTTCGGCGGCGGGGTGTTCAGTGTCGGGGGAGTGAGACGGCAGCGGGCGGGCTGTGTTGCCAGGCCACGGCTCGCCGATGGGACAGACCTGGGGCAGCCCGGCCTTCATCGACGAGGTGTACCTGAAGAACCCGCTGGAGCCGCCCGACCTGCGAGACGAGCGCGTGTCGCGCGCCAGACTGGTGCGCCCCTCCGAGTCCAGCCTGGCCAAGAGCAAGCGCCAGCACAAGCAGTACAACTACAGCCAGTTCAGCGACGACTGGTCGCCGGAGGAGTGGCAGCACGAGCGAGTCAGCCCGACGCCGTCCACAGGTGAGCGCGGTCAGCCTAGGGGATGTTCGACGTGGAGGCGGGAGCTGCGGCGGCCCCTTCCCTGCCTTTTTCCTCCCCCTGGCAGCAGGCGGCAAGCCCTTGGGCTCATCAGCGCCTTCGGCAGCTTGACTGGCCTGGTCGTTTGTTCTCTGGTCAGAGTCACCCACCTCGCCGAGCGCATGCTGTCGTGTTCATTGTCACACAGTGGTACTGATGGAGCGGCGGCCCCTGCGACCGGCCGGCCGCGGGGCGTCGGGCGCCACCTGCAGCTCGGCGCCTGCCGCAGCCCTCGGCGCCACTGACGCCCGCTGCCGGCAGGCGGCTCCGGCGACTCCGGCGGCGGCGCGGCCGGCCTGCTCATCGACCTGGACGGCACGGCTGGCGGCACGAGGACGCCGCCGCTGCCGGCGGTGGCGTCCGAGCCGATGCGACAGGCCCGTCCCGGCGCCGCCGACTCGCTGCTGGACGTGCGCGACATGCCAGGTGGGAGCGGATCGCCGGCCAGTGTGCGGCCGCGGGAAGGACGCGGCTCATGACAGCGCTGGCTGTGACGGCGGCATATTGATTGTCTTGTCCGTGGTGCAACGTGTAATGCGCTTGGTTATCTCGCTGGATTGCGAGAGCTTGAGAAGTGTCAGCGAGCTGGATGCTGCTCACCTGAGTGAAGCATGCGCTCTTTGAATATGTCGCGGGTGCCTCCATTTTTCCCTCTGTGGTTCACGACGTTGGGCGTCTTCAGTGAGTTACACGGTTTACAACTCGGGTAGCAACGATCTGCATGGTTCTCAGACGAGCACGAGTCGGCCACCTACCAGAATCTGCCGTCGACCCGGCCGGCCGAGCAGCGACGCATCTACTATGCTCCGCCTCCGGAGGCGGCTGGCCGCTATGATTGGCGGCCGGGTGAGCCGCCGGAACGACGGCTCGGGCCTCCGCCGCGGCCGTCGCCGCCGCCGGCCATCGCCCCGCCGCCCGCCAGCCAATCGCGACCGGCGTGCGCGCGACGTCAGACGCCGCCCGACCAATCGCAGGCGGCGCCGGCCTGGCGCAGCGAAACGGAGTTGTGCTACACCGACGGCAGCGGATCGCCGGTGGCGACTGACGTCGACGCCGAGGAGCGCTCGCAGAGCGTCACCGACCTGCTGGACGAGCACATTGAGCGGCTGGGGCTAGGCGAGGCGGCGCGCTGCGAGAGCAGGCCGCTAAGCGCCGGATCGGCAGACTACGACCCGTTCGACACGTCCAACGTGGTGCTGCCGCCGCCGCGCGCCGAGGAGATCGTGCCCGACGCGGGCGATGGCGCCAGCGACGACGCGAGCTGGACGCTGCGTCCGCCGGACGGCGCCGACGACCAGCGCCTGGAGTCGGCGGTCGTGCCATACGGCGGCGGCGGCGGCGCTGGTGACGGCGGCGCCGCGCGCAGCGCCTCGCCCGTCAGCCGTCCGACGGCGCTCAGCCCCGAGCTGGTGTCGCGTCTGGAGGCGGCGCTGGCAGCGCGCTCCGCGCCGCCGGCGCCGGCCGTTGCGCCGCAGCGCCAGTCGGAGCTGGTCAGCCGTAACCTGCAGCTGATCGCGCGCGCGCAAGTGGGCCGCTCGGCCGGCCTGCCGCCGGCGCCGCCCGCGCCGCTGGCCGCCATGTACCGGCCGCAGACGGCCAGCCAACACCGCCTGCTGCCGGACGCCGCCGGGTGAGTGGCGGGCTGGCGCACGCCGCTCGGCCGCCGCATCGGTCAGAGTCGGCCGTCCGGTCCGGCGGTACTCAGGCTGTCTCTCTGCGCACGCTGCCGCGTCGGTAGCCCCCCCCCCCCCCTCCCCCATCACTTGCCGCGCCCCCTGACCTCCACACCGCTGACACAGTGGCGTCACCGACGTGCCACTGACGGCGCCTTCCCGCCCAACAGGCAGTTCGAAGACGACTTCTCGCCGCTGGCGGCGAGGTACGGCTCGCTGCCGATGCTGACGCCGACGGCGGCGTCGGCGCGGCCGGCCTCGCTGGCGGCGCCCGCCGAGAGCTCCTCGCCCGCCTACCCGGCCGTGCTGGCCGACTTTGACCCGCTGCTGAGCCGACAGACCGCCCCGGCCGCCGCCCGTACCGCTCAGGTAGTGTCGGCCGTGCGGCGCTCCGTCCGTTGACAGTGCCTGGCTGGCGCCTTGTTTCGTCTCGTCTGTATCGTCGTAGCGTATGGCTAAGCTCAAAAATGTCCATGTTGGTGATGGTGCGGCTTCAGGCGTTATCTGGTGCTGTCGGGTGGTGTGTGCTATCCGGCCGATCTGTCCGGTGTCGTCTGACGGTGCGCGCCTGTGGTGTCGTCCTGCGCCGGCTGGTGCCGTCTGGTGCGCGCCTCGGGCCGGCCAACTGACCGGGCGCGCGCGGCGCCGCTGCGCAGGTGCGGCCGTTCCAGCTGAGCAGGAGCCGCTCCCAGTCCAACCGACAGCTGGGATCGCCGACGCGCTCGGTCAGCGCCGCCGCCGCCGCCGTCCGCTCGCCGCCCGCCGGCGGGCCGCACGGGAAGGTGAGCCGCGCCGCGCCGTCGCGCAGTGTGGTGCTCCGGCGAGTGAGTCGTGGTGCCATCTGTGGGCCGGCCGAGGTAGATGGGGTAAATGGTGGGGCCGATGACAGAAGGTCCGCGCTGCCGGCGGGCGCTTCTGCTTTGGTAGATGAGGTAAATGGTGGGGCCGATGAAAGAAGGTCTGTGCTGCCGGAGGGCGCTTCTGCTTTGGTAGATGAGGTAAATGGTGGGGCCGATGACAGAAGGTCGGCGCTACTGGCGGGCGCTTCTGCTTTGGATTTCGTGGGCAGGCAGGCGCCGTGATGTGTCGTCCTCGGTTTCTGTGGTTTCTGAAACTGTCATCTCTGCCAGTCAAAAGAGGTACGGAAGCTGCATTATGCAAACGCAGGCTATAAGTTGGCCAGTGCCGGCCGCCAGCCCGACCGCGTGTTTCGCTGCGCCCGCACGTGGGGCGCCGCCTATGCCGTGCTTCCCTGGCGCGGGGCAGTGTCGTCTGCCTTCGAGCGTGTGTGGCCGGCAGGGGCTGACCGTCCGTCCGGCAGGTGGACGTGCCGCTGGCGGTGCGCGAGGTGCTGCAGCAGCTGCCCGGCATCCCGGTCTCCGAGGTCCGCTCGGCGCTGCACACCTGCGCCGGTGAGAGCGCGCCCGGCCGCCGCTGCGATGGGGGGCGCTCGGCCGTGCCGCCGCCGGCAGCCGGCCGGCGGCACCGTGAACGCCGCGCACGCCATCTGTTGGCGTGTCCCGCCTCGAGTCTCGCGTCTGTGTCGGCGCCGGCTGCTTTGCGGTGTTGTGGTTGTCGCTGTGTTCGCGTCCCTCTGATTGGTCGTCACAGCGCAGGTCTGCCGCCCCGGTCGCGGCCTGGTCAGGCGGGCCGGCCAGTGGAGACGCGCACAGACCAGGGTCTGGCCGGACTATCCCTCTCGTTGGTCACGCAGAAGAGACAGAGCTCAGTGCCCGTGCTGACCCTCCCTCTCCCACAGGTAACATCCAGGGTGGTGGTCACGCAGAAGGGACAGAGCTCAGTGCCCGTGCTGACCCTCCCTCTCCCACAGGTAACATCCAGGGTGGTGGTCACGCAGAAGAGACAGAGCTCAGTGCCCGTGCTGACCCTCCCTCCCCCACAGGTAACACCCAGGGTGCTATCAAGTTTCTGAAGGTGGACCGGCTGTACCGGCTCGGCCTGGCCACCAAGCCGCAGTGCGAGGCCATGCTCTGCTCGTTCAACTGGGACGTGGAGCTGGCCGCCAGCCGCATGCTGGACACCATGTGAGGCGGCGGCGGCCAGCGACGGCTGCTGGGCCGCCGTCGGCCGCAGGCGCGCCGGACACACTCGGCGCCGGTGCTCGCTGCGGACGCGCGCGCAGGGGGCAGCACCGTCACGCCTGCGCCGCTCGGGACCAGGGTGTGTTCCTGCCCGTGCGCCGCTATCGCCGGCGACGGCCGCGGGCGCTGGCCTCCGCTCGTGGGCATTGTGACATATGTAGTAGGCTTATTTGGTCAGGAAGCATGACAATAGCGGACCATGCGCGCCGTGTGTGAGTTTGGGTTTGTTGTCGCGGGAGAACGACGCCCCCTCGTGTATGCACGAGTCGCGCACGTGTCAAAGCGTTAGATGAAACTGCACGACGTAGCAAGGAAGGCGACTCGCGCCGCTTAGCTAGCGTCAAGCCAACGGTCTACTTAACCAGCGCGCTTTCGCTGGCAGCGTAGCGCGACCCCGGTGCGTCGCTCGAGATGTCTTGCACGCCAGTCGCCTGCTTCTTGCACGCCTGGTGGTGGTTTCATCGGATGTTGCCCGCGCGCGGCACACAGCGCGCGCTTCTCCGAACCGGGAAGGGATCTGATCGTCACAAACAATCTCTCGCCGATATTGACCCCGCGTCATGTGAGATTCCGTACCGGCGCGCCGTTCCGTGTTAGATGTGTTCAGGCGCCGCTCCCTGCGCCGACACTCCTCCCATTCCAGACGCACACTTGGCGGCATTCGCAGGGCATTGGTGTTGGGCTGGCCGCCACGCGCGCCGGTTTGGGGGCCTGCTCGCTGGATGGACGAGATGCGGTACCCAGCCATGCACTGCCGAACATCCGTGCCCCGCTGGTAATGGTGTTCTCCGCGCCGTTGCGACGGTCCTGCTCGGCCCCTGCCGCTGTTGGTCCCGCTCGGCCCCTGCCGCTGTCGGTCGTGCTCGGCCCCTGCCGCTGTCGGTCCGGTCTGGGCTCCGACCCTGGTGCGGGCGTCTCGGGTGCCCGGGCATGTCTCTGACCTCGATAGGCGTCCGTTGGGGCGCACCAAGTCCGCTCCCTCCCACGCCTCGCTGTTCAGTCTTGTTACCCATCGACGAGCGCCGGTTCACCCCTGCCGTACCCGCCACCCGGCGGGCCGGTCCTTCGCCCGGCCAGCACCGCACAATAAGAGGATAGTCTGGGTTCACCACCGTGGGCATCGACTGACGATGTGATTCCCGTCTGTGTGTAGATCTTTCCAGATGCAAGGCTCTGTGCTTCCGTGGTGGCTGCTGGAACTCTCGCCTGGCGTTCAGGTGCATTGTAGCATCTCTCGCTCGGTGCGTCAGGTGCATCGTAGCGTCTCTCGCTCGGCGCGCCGTTACCAGCGTGCTGTTGTGGCGATTATGGTGATTTTGGACTCATTTATCAGAGATTGTAGAGGAAGGGTCAAGCCCGTTTGACGATATCATCCAGGATGTTTGTTAATGACGCGTGTCCTTTGTAAGCTCGCGCAGGTGCAGATAACAGATCTGAATGCCTGTGGCTTCTGTTACGCAATGCTGCTGTTGGAGACAATATATGTTACATGATTATTACACGAATTTACGATTTTCCTGCCTCGGAAACAGCCTCGGAAACCTGTCACTGGTGGAAAATCGAAATCGTGCATTCTGTCGATCTTCTCGAGCCGAAATGAGACGCAATTAGGTCAACCGGCAGTCTGCATTCCCGCCGCGTGCTGAGACTGCCAGGCTTCACCCATCGACGAGCGAACAACAAGGCGCGCAGACGCATTAGAGCGCGGCCCTAACGGTGTTGGATTGCGTCGAACTGGGGCGACCGTGCGGGCGCGGCCGCTGCTGCAACGGCTCTGAGACCGGGAGCACGCCGTTGACCGCGTGTTGCGCCACCGGCCGCGGATTGCGGGGAGAAAAGAGGGGGCGGGGATGCTGGGCGCGGCTCGGACGGACGGCGCCGAGCCGGCGCGGCTGATCACGGCAGCTCCGGCCGATCCTGTGCTGCTTCCCCGCGTCCCCACACGGCGGACTGGACAGACGACAGCTGCCTGCGTCCCCACACGGTGGGCGGAATAGACAACAGGTCCCTGCTTCACCTCACGGCGGACTGGACCAACAACAGCTTCCCTTCTCCTCCGCACGGCGGACTGGACACGCAACAGCTCCCTGCGTCCTCTCTCGCTGGACGGAATAGACAACAGGTCCCTGTGCCCCCTCACGGTGGACTGGACCGACAACAGCCTCCCTTCTTCTCCGCACGGCGGACTGGACAGACAACTTCCCGTCTTTTCCGCACGGCTGACTGGACAGAAGACAGCTCCCTTGTGTCCCTGCACAGCGGACTGGATCGGCGACGCCTTCCCTTCTTCCCCCATGTCCCTGCACAGCGGACTGGGCAGGCGACAGCTTCCCTTCTTCCCTTATGTCCGTGCACAGCGGACTGGGCAGGCGACAGCTTCCCTTCTTCCCCTATGTCCATGCACAGCGGACTGGGCAGGCAACAGCTTCCCTTCTTCCCCTATGTCCCTGCACAGCGGACTGGGCAGGCGACAGCCTCCCTTCTTCCCTTATGTCCGTGCACAGCGGACTGGGCAGGCGACAGCTTCCCTTCTTCCCCTATGTCCCTGCACAGCGGACTGGGCAGGCAACAGCTTTCCTTCTTCCCCCATGTCCCTGCACAGCGGACCGGATCGATGACGCCTTCCCTTCTTGCCTGTGCGGCTGCACATCAGACCAGACTGTCGACTGCTCTCTGCAGTCCGCCCACTGGCGCCGCACAAGTCGTCGATTTGCATTACTTGTCCAGCCAGCTGGACAGCTGACGAGAGCCTGCGGTGTGCATCACGGCAGCGGACGTCTCACTTTGGACGGCTCCGGGCAGACTGTACCTCTTCACATTGCGCGAGGCAGCCAATAGCTTCGAGCAGTCTGATCCCGCATCCCAGAAAGACAAATGATAAGCCTATGCGGTCTGTGCACCGCGACGTAGAATTTAACAGTTCACGAGATGAGGAAGCCTGCCTGCCGGTTGGGACCCCAGACTGAACAGCTGATGGCCTCCTACAGTTCGCGCCGGGGCAGTCTAGTCTGGGCATGTGACGGTCGCCTCAGCCTGCGGCATGTCGACGTCGCACCGTATGGCTGATGGTTTCGATGCAGTCTGTAAACCGTTACCTAACACCGGACTGCCGACAGCTCCTGGCAATCAATAACCCGCCTGTCAAAACAATCAATCTTGATGCTGTGTGGAGTCGCGGCGTGGCGGCAAAGCAGCCTTTAATGTGTCTTCCGTCCTGTGTCGGCAGTCTTTTGCGTTCCCACCATTATGCTGCGATATTCAGGATGGGACCGTCCGGAGAACCCCTGTAAATGTCCGGCTGGAAGCTCCCAGGTCTCCCTAACGTTCCCAAATTGGTCCGGCCTGACCACGGTTCCAGCCTTTCCGACCGGAACGCAAGCGGAACATAACGGCGGGTCCCGGTGCTCCCAGACGTAAGGCAAAACTGTGCCAGTACAGCGCTGTCCCACGCGTAGGCCGTCCGGCCGGCGACGGCACGCGGTCGTCCCACGCAACCGCGCCGGTGCAGTGGCGCGGAACATCTCACTTCGCCGCCCGCCGGCCGCGAGGGGAGTGGGGTCTGACAGTGCTCGCTGTCTTCGCACCTCGCGGTCACGTCCGGAGGGCCTCCGATTGAGTGTCTGCGACCTGGCTGACCGCGGAGCTTTCCGCGCCCTGGAGCCAGCCAGGTGCCTGGCGTGATGTGTGGCAGTGTGGCGCCATGCAAGCGAAAAGCCTGATCCAAGGGCCTCACGGATTTACGGTGACAAAGTCGCGTTTGATTATCGCGCAAAAGTCCTCAGAAGCTATTTCAGTGTTGCTGAAACTTCGTCTGATAATGAGGCTCCTATAATGTAGAAGAAGACAAGTGCAGTTCGTTTATGCATGGCTGGAAACCGTTTAAACCGGTGTGATACTTCTTAGCGTGGTAAGGCGCATAATACGAACCATTTCAACAAGGTAGATACTGTCGAAATAATGCACACATTTGTGGAGCTTATCTATCGACCTCGTTGTCCATGTTGCATCTGTGGTATGTGAGGAATGTCCAACTAACCGTCAAGTATGCATTCAAACTCAGCAAATGTAACCGTAGTTGCAAGTGACGGGATGTCGTGACCTACTGCTGATGATTGCATGGGTCTCGTTTGGCTCTTGCGTGCAGGGGTGTGATTGGATTGGACAACATGTGAAGTAAACACGACTCTGGTCAGGCCGGGCAGTCAAAGCCAGAGTAAATGATCGCTTAATGGCTGAATTAAGCCTCTGGATCCGCAGCCTCGATCGTGACCCGCTGCAGCGAGCGGGTCACGAATGTATGTACGGCGAGATAGTAGCGGCGTGATGGCGACCGTAGATTCCCAGCCCTGGGATCGTTGAGAGAAATCGTGCGGTGGACTGTAGAACTGCGCTAAAATACTTCAAATGTCTCAGGTATTAAAAAAAACGAGTATATTAAATAAAGTGCCCAAGCAGAACGTCCTGGTGCATGTTGATAAATGTCGTGTCATGTGCCCACTGGGAAATCTTTAGCCTGTGTCGAACCCTTTGCGATGCCCGGGGGCTGGTTAAAAGGTGTCAACATGGCTAAAGCAACTCTCAGTTACAAAGAAGTGAAACAGGCACAGTTTGCACTGCCGTTTCCACTGTCGTTGGTGCCGCGTTTAGAGTCTGTCCCAAACGGCTTTTGGCAACCATCGAAATTTGATACTCGATTAGCCTACGCGTGTGGTGTCGCGACATTAGTGTTACAGTAAAAACTCACACCGCCAGTGGTGCTACAAAATGATTTATACGCGTCGTTACTCCTACTGCAAAAAAACTTACCGACTACCTAACTCATACGCGATATTGCTTCTGCCACAAAACTCCCATGCGACATCAGTGCTACACAACAAAACTCATACCTCAGAAACCTACGCCCGTCAGAAGCTTTGCTGCAAAAACTTATAGTCACTACTTATGCATGACATTACTCCTCATGAAAAAAACTCGCACTCGACATAAGTGCGACACGAAATTAATGGCTGCATGTATGCGCCATGTGCTGAAGTCATGCTTGTAGAAGTCTGCTGTAAAAGTGATGGAGGATATAAGTTTTTGAAGCATAAGTTTTGTCACGAAGCACTTATGTCGTGCGTTTGCATTGTCAGCAGAGGTAATGACATGGCGCTGTTGTCGGCATGAGTTTTTGCTGTAGCACTACTATCATGGAACTCATGTCGGTTCTCCGGTGTTTGCCTTCCCAGCCACCCACGCCTCTCGCCAAATACGGGGCTAAAAACAGGCTCTAAATGACCGAAAACCGGTGTTTCGAAAGTCTGCTCTGTGCTATCACCAATCATTCCTCTTTAGTAAGTTTTACAAAGTTTTGCGCCTCTGCAGACGAAGGCATGGGAAAGTGCTTTCGCTCGAGGTCACAGATACTTCGCCGCAGACGCGCGGCACGCGGCAGCGCTGCAGATATTTTTCGAGCTGTCACGCGTGCTATTAAAAGGTGCCTAGCTGTGCCCCCGAACGATGGCGGGAACCTCACGTCGCAGGTGTGCGGTGCAGTCTCAGGCACTGAGACACAGTCTGGCACGGTCTCAGGCACTGAGACTGACGGCCACGACACCGGAGACGGGACTGGCATACAGCACTGAGACTTACGGCCATGGCACCGGAGACGGGACTGACATACAGCGCCGGAGACGGGACTGGCATACAGCGCCGGAGACGAGACTGACATTCAGCGTCGGAGACGGGACTGACATACAGCATCGGAGACGGGACTGACATACAGCGTCGGAGACGGGACTGGCATACAGCGCCGGAGACGGGACTGACATACAGCGCCGGAGACGGGACTGGCATACAGCGCCGGAGACGGGACTGACATACAGCGTCGGAGACGGGACTGACATGCAGCGTCGGAGACGGGACTGACATACAGCGTCGGAGACGGGACTGACATACAGCGTCGGAGACGGGACTGGCATACAGCGCCGGATCTTGGACTGACATACAGCGCCGGAGACGGGACTGACATACAGCATCGGAGACGGGACTGACATACAGCGTCGGAGACAGGACTGGCATACAGCGCCGGAGATGGGACTGACATACAGCGTCGGAGACGGGACTGACATACAGCGCCGGAGACGGGACTGACATACAGCGCCGGATCTTGGACTAACATACAGCGCCGGAGACGGGACTGACATACAGTGCCGGAGACGGGACTGACATACAGCGTCGGAGACGGGACTGACATACAGCGCCGGAGACGGGACTGACATACAGTGCCGGAGACGGGACTGACATACAGCGCCGGAGACGGGACTGACATACAGTGCCGGAGACGGGACTGACATACAGCGCCGGAGACGGGACTGACATACAGCGCCGGAGACGGGACTGACATACAGCGCCGGAGACGGGACTGACATACAGCGCCGGAGACGGGACTGACATACAGCGCCGGAGACGGGACTGACATACAGCGCCGGATCTGGGACTAACATACAGCGCCGGAG